GGGAGTTTAGTTCAAAATTCAGCAGGTCCTTCATGGAATAATACCACAGAGAATTTGCTATATAAAATTTTTCCGGATTTTTGAACTTGCTCGATCCTGCTTCTGGAAGAGACATATTCCAAAAAAGTGTTATAAAATGTCTGTCTTTAAAAGCGGATCGAATATGATCCAAAAAGTTCGAAAAAATTTTTCTAATGGATTCTATGTGTGGTATCATTCCATAAAGCACTCGCCGAACATTCTTCGATATGATGAAATAAGTAATCTAACTGTTTTTGTTGAGAGCACTTGAGGTTCGGAGGAAATGACATGACCACAGATGAGCATCGAGTTGACGCTTCACTTCCGCTTACGCTGTCTCATCATTTTTGGCCGTCATTCACTTGGGAAGATGCGGAGTCAAAGAAGCACGGTCAAACAAATCAAAGCATCGCCGACCGCTGAAGCACACCAAGGCCGGTCAAACATCTTGTTTTCTAAACGGTGAAAACTCATTTGAAATGGCCTCCAAACCACTGGAGCATGACGTGCAAGAAAAACCTTTCTCACTTAACAGCGTTCTGTTCTGTGTGTTTTTGGTGATACTTTTTCTTCACTGGAACAACTAAATGTACATTATGTCCACTCAAATATAGTTAAGGCAAATAAGTCTCAACTTGAAAACAGACTGGGAATTCTATTTTCATGTGAACAGTTTAGAAGAGGTAGTATTGCGGAGGATAAACTGGAATGATGAGATTTTTATTATCAATATTCAACAGCTCTGCCACTTAAAGTTCGATAATGAGGTGGTGTAGTTCGCTGATAAACGCCAATTAGCTGCAAGGCAAACTGCAACAGCTCGACAGAAAAGTTGCGAAAGTCTGACAATCGATCAATCGCTAAAGACGAAGACAACGCGACCAAATGCCCTGCCAAAGGCCCAGGTAATATTAAACGGCAAGACGATAGAAATGAACACTACACTTACCTGGTACAAGGAACAAACATACGACATGATCTGGCTGGGAAGATTCAACGGAGGAAAAGGACCGATTGGCCCGCGCTCCATTCCACCGAGGATGTCCTCCGATGCAGAAAGAAACCCGCATCCCTCCCTTCGGTTTTGCCGTCCTGCCGGCAATATTGTATGGATGGAGACATGGTCACTCACGAAAGCTAAAGAGTGCTAGCTCTCTGTCACCAAGAAAGCCATTCGCAAAAGAGTACTGGGGATCTCATTTCGCGACCACATTCCCAACACGGTGATCGGACAGCTGAAGGGAGTGAAGGACGTCGTCGTAGAAGGCAGAAAGGAGAAGCTGCGGTGGACCGGGCACGAAGGTCGGCTTGCCCTTTGGACGAGATACGGTCAGCGATGCTCGCCGAATGATACCCTTGCGGGCGGAGTCAATTCAACTTTCATTACAATGGTGGGAAGATTACACCAGGAACCGCAAAGCAGGAACTCGAAGAGACAAGGCTCGAAACTTCAAGGAGTTGACAGGGTATGCCGTCATTATCGGCCGGTCCAAGATATACCGTTATTGGGTTTCATAGCAACAATTTGATCAAACTATTGCAGCACTGCATGCTGACGCGCGTATATTTTTTACTTCAATGTTAGCGGCAATAAATAAATTATCTATTCTCTATTTTACACATATTTAAGATTTCCAAAGAACTGGCATCGTTTGAGTTGAAGCAGTTATTGCGATCAACTTGAATTTGTTCGAAATGTTGAACTCGTATTAAATATAATGTTAAATTTATTTCCAATGTTTCCTGCCACTAATCATGAAATCAGAAAAATAGTCACCTCTGGTTCTGTCATTATGTTAGTTTAAGAAATTAAATACACAACATTCATTTAATACTAAAAATACCAAAAATGTTTCAAATCCTGGTATCAAAGAGTTAACTAGCAAACAGAAAGTTTTTCGATACTGCTAGCAAGAATAGCAAACTTTTATTACTTATTCAAATTCAAACGGCATAATCGCACCTTTCCTTTACTTCTAATAGCCTAGCGGACTGTTTATCTTATTTTTATACGGTTGTTTTGCAGTTTCAAACTCAAGATCAAGAAAAAAGGGCCATTATTTCAAAAACTTTTCATTTTTACCATGAAGTGGCGCAAACTGGTTCGGTTCAGTACGGAAATCATTAATCAAATGCTATGCTTCACTGGTTCACGATTCTTGACACTAAATGCGAGACATGCAATCCAAATTTTTACTGGTCAACTTGATCGAAGCCGATTGCGTGGATCATCGTCTGATGAAGATCATCGCTTTTTTTCAATCATTGCACGGAAGCAGACATGGCGATGCCAAGGTTTCTGTTAAGGGTCTGATTCCTGCCGAAGTTCTGTAGAATCTTCCGCGTACGTTTACAACTCTGGTCACTGGTCTGCTGCGGTGGCAGTTGACGCGTATGCTTTCGCCTGTCACGACTGATCCTGTTCCCCGTTTGTCAGCGGAATTCCATCCAAATGGCTAACCTTAGAACTAGTTCAAAAATGAACTCAGTCAAATAACCATAAAATAATGTGAGCATCTGGTTGTGAGTTCAATTAGACTATGCTGTTTAGTGAAGCACAGCACGGCCGCATGCAAAAAACAGGTTGGCTTGACTTTCCGGAGGTACTGGGTTGGAATTCCACCCATAAAGGACAAAGTTTCTCTTAATCACTAAATTCCTTGAGACAGTAATTCACGTTGCTTCGACGTAACCAGCTGACAAGTGGGAAGCAAGTTCCTGACTTATGATTAACGGGTGATACATACGGCCATGATATCTGACGGGAACGCCTGACAGAACTGCATTTCGTCTTTATCCACTTGAAACCCGACTATCCAACGCGATAATCAGCCCAATAGGGAATTCCTGTTGCTGTCGATGTTAAATCCAAGGCTGTTTCTAACAGCCCTTGTCTGTGTCGTATATTATATCATCTTCTTGTTTTGATTTTATTATTCAGTGGATGCCTTGAGAAGTAGCGGAAATTCTTTAGCTGGTGTATAAAATGGATTTCTTGATTTTGTCATCGGTTTACTTCGTCATGTTGAGCATCTTTGGGGATCAGCTATCTGAGGCCTATAATTGAACTTTCGGTGCTTTGGACTATTTTAGTAGCACCATAGT